CATGTGCCACATTTTTGAGATTTCGATTTCAAGATCAATGTACTTTGATAATTTTTTGAATATCTTTAGAGATAAATAACAGCGAGCAGGGACTACCATGTAAATTAGAAGACACATTTTGTCATTACGGCCTCTAATCACGTCGCAGGACATTCCAGCCTTTCAATATGGAAGTTATGCTAAATTTTATAAAATTTGAAATTACATTTTTCTTTAATTTTAAATCCTTTTAACTTTATTTAAATTTTGTTTTCAATTTATTTGTCTTTTTTCCTTTTATTTTATTTTTAATCTATATTTGATAACTATAAGAGAATGGTCGTTTAATTGATAGCAATTTTCTTAGTATATGGGATGTTCCTAGTAGAGCGATCTTCTGGGCAAGCTGCATGCTGATGTTGCCTGGGTCACTGTTAGTAAAATTGTCCATTCCTTTTCTCACAAGGCCCAGTGCTCCGATTACTGTTGGCACAGTCTCAGTCTTCATTCTCCACCTCCTGTTAATCTCGTATAATCTTGTATTTGGACAATTTCTCATTAATTTTCATGGAGGTGTTTCAGATGCTACTGCTCTGTCAGTAAGCATCCACTTCCCGACGTTCTTGTCTTTTATGATAATATCAGATGTCCTGGCTTTTATTTCCCTGTCAGTTTGAATTGACATGCCCTAGATGATAACTGCATCGTTATTTTGGGTAAAAGTGCCTGGTTGGTGCTCATACCATCTCACAGTGGTTTCGATTTTGTGCATCTTGCAATATCATCATGTAGACATATGTTGCTACCTTGTTATGTCTGTAGGTATATTCATTTTCTTTTTTTGCTAGTTCGGGACATCCTGAGATAATATGGTCGACAGTTTAATTATATTTTCCTCAGATCTTGCATTTCAGGTTAGTTCCATCCTTGATTATGTGAGAGTAATAGAATCTGGTTGTGAGGCTTTGGTCCTGAGATGCAATAATTAGGGGGTCTGTCTCAATGTTCAACCCAGTGCTACTCAACCCTTGATGTGTTTTCTGTTGGTTCACACCTGCTTCTTTCGTTCTTTTTAGGTATTTGCCATGCAAAGCCTTGTTCTCCCAAGTCTTTTGTAATTTCATTTGGCCAAGTTGTTTTGCTTTCTGTTTAACTCGTTTGGCGTAGATGATATTCGCTTCGTTTTTTTCTTTTTTAATTTTTTTTTTTGGTAGGGTTTCAGGTATATTAAGCTGTTTCTTGAAGAGTGCAGCTTTTTTTGTTGATGAAGTGGATTTGGTGTTTTACTATTTGGAGGAGGAGGTCATTGGTTTTTGTGAGTTATGCATCCAATCCGATTGTTTTATTTTATTAATTAATGAATTAATTAATAAATAATAATAATAATTATTTTTTATTATTATTATTATTATTATTATTATTATTATTAATAGTAATAATAATAATAATAATAATAATAATAATAATAAGAAGAAGAAGAAGAAGAAGAAGAAGAGTATTTTCAAGTCCATATAAGAATTCTAGTGAGCACTGCGAAGCGAAAATTACTGATCTGGACAATATTACCGCCACTGGTTTCGTCATGGTTTCAAGTGCGTTATTACATGTGCAATACTTCTAACCTCCCGCGCGAGATTCTAATATTTTTTTCTATATTTTGTTTTTATTGCTTTCCATTTATACTGTCTAGTCTGCTGGAACAACAATATCCATGATTCCGGTATTTGTATTTTTGCATACAGTGTCTGATAGCCATTGCTTGCAATAGAAAAAAAACATCTATGATAAATCATTAGCATCTTCTTCAGTATTCTTGCTGACGCCACTGATGCTGCCGTTTCAGAAGTTTCAACATTTCCTCAAATCTCCTTTGCTCCTTGAATCTCCTTTGCTCCTTAAATCTCCTTTGCTCCTTGAATCTCCTTTGCTCCTTGAATCTCATTTGCTCCTTAAATCTCCTTTGCTCCTCAAATCCCCTTTGCGCCTTGAATCTCATTTGCTCCTTAAATCTCCTTTGCTCCTTGGATCTCCTTTGCTCCTTAAATCTCCTTTGCTCCTTAAATCTCCTTTGCTCCTCAAATCCCCTTTACTCCTTGAATCTCATTTGCTCCTTAAATCTCCTTTGCTCCTTGGATCTCCTTTGCTCCTTAAATCTCCTTTGCTCCTTGAATCTCCTTTGCTCCTTGAATCTCATTTGCTCCTTAAATCTCCTTTGCTGCTTGGATCTCCTTTGCTCTTTGAATCTCCTTTGCTCCTCAAATCTCCTTTGCTCCTCAAATCTCCTTTGCTCCTTGAATCTCCTTTGCTCCTTGAATATCCTTTGCTCCTCAAATCTCCTTTGCTCCTCAAATCTCCTTTGCTCCTCAAATCTCCTTTGCTCCTTGAATCTCCTTTGCTCCTCAAATCCCCTTTGCTCCTCATATCTCCTTTGCTCCTTGAATCTCCTTTGCTCCTTGAATCTCCTTTGCTCCTCAAATCTCCTTTGCTCCTTGAATCTCTTTTGCTCCTCAAATCTCATTTGCTCCTCAAATCTCCTTTGCGCCTTGAATCTTCTTTGCTCCTTGAATCTTCTTTGCTCCTTGAATCTCCTTTGCTCCTCAAATCTCCTTTGCTCCTCAAATCTCCTTTACTCCTTGAATCTCCTTTGCTCCTCAAATCCCCTGTGCTCATCATATCTCCTTTGCTCCTTGAATCTCCTTTGCTCCTTGAATCTCCTTTGCTCCTCAAATCTCCTTTGCTCCTTGGATCTCCTTTGCTCCTCAAATCTCATTTGCTCCTCAAATCTCCTTTGCTCCTCAAATCTCCTTTGCTCCTTGAATCTCTTTTGCTCCTCAAATCTCCTTTGCTCCTCAAATCTCCTTTCCTCCTTGAATCTCCTTTGCTCCTTGAATCTCCTTTGCTCCTTGAATCTCCTTTGCTCCTCAAATCCCCTTTGCTCCTCATATATCCTTTGCTCCTTGAATCTCCTTTGCTCCTCAAATCTCATTTGCTCGTCAAATCTCCTTTGCTCCTTGAATCTTCTTTGCTCCTTGAATCTCCTTTGCTGCTCAAATCTCCTTTGCTCCTTGAATCTCCTTTGCTCATCAAATCTCCTTTGCTCCTTGAATCTCCTTTGCTCCTCAAATCTCCTTTGCTCCTCAAATCTCATTTGCTCCTCAAATCTCCTCTGCTCCTCAAATCTCCTTTGCTCCTCAAATCTCATTTCCTCCTCAAATCTCCTTTGCTCCTCAAATCTCCTTTGCTCGTCAAATCTCCTTTGCTCCTTGAATCTTCTTTGCTCCTTGAATCTCCTTTGCTCCACAAATCTCCTTTGCTCCTTGAATCTCCTTTGCTCCTCAAATCTCCTTTGCTCCTTGAATCTCCTTTGCTCCTCAAATCTCCTTTGCTCCTCAAATCTCATTTGCTCCTCAAATCTCCTCTGCTCCTCAAATCGCCTTTGCTCCTCAAATCTCCTTTGCTCCTTGGATCTCCTTTGCTCCTCAAATCTCATTTGCTCCTCAAATCTCCTTTGCTCCTCAAATCTCCTTTGCTCCATGAATCTCCTTTGCTCCTCAAATCTCCTTTGCTCCTTGAATCTCCTTTCCTCATCAAATCTCCTTTGCTCCTTGAATCTCCTTTGCTCCTCAAATCTCATTTGCTCGTCAAATCTCCTTTGCTCCTTGAATCTTCTTTGCTCCTTGAATCTCCTTTGCTCCTCAAATCTCCTTTGCTCCTTGAATCTCCTTTCCTCATCAAATCTCCTTTGCTCCTGGAATCTCATTTGCTCCTCAAATCTCCTCTGCTCCTCAAATCTCCTTTGCTCCTCAAATCTCATTTCCTCCTCGAATCTCCTTTGCTCCTCAAATCTCCTTTGCTAGTCAAATCTCCTTTGCTCCTTGAATCTTCTTTGCTCCTTGAATCTCCTTTGCTCCACAAATCTCCTTTGCTCCTTGAATCTCCTTTGCTCCTCAAATCTCCTTTGCTCCTTGAATCTCCTTTGCTCCTCAAATCTCCTTTGCTCCTCAAATCTACTTTGCTCCTCAAATCTCCCCTGCTCCTCAAATCACCTTTGCTCCTCAAATCTCATTTCCTCCTCAAATCTCCTTTGCTCCTCAAATCTCCTTTGCTCGTCAAATCTCCTTTTCTTCTTGAATCCCCTTTGCTCCTTGAATATCCATTGCTCCTCAAATCTCCTTTGCTCCTCAAATCTCCTTTGCTCCTCAAATCTTCTTTTGCTCCTTGAATCTCCTTTGCTCCTCAAATCTTTTTTGCTCCTCAAATCTCCTTTGCTCCTTGAATCTCCTTTGCTCCTATTATCCCCTTTGCTCCTCATATCTCCTTTGCTCCTCAAATCTCCTTTGCTCCTTGAATCTCCTTTGCTCCTCAAATCTCATTTGCTCCTCAAATCTCATTTCCTCCTCAAATCTCCTTTGCTCCTCAAATATCCTTTGCTCGTCAAATCTCCTTTGCTCCTTGAATCCCCTTTGCTCCTTGAATATCCTTTGCTCCTCAAATCACCTTTGCTCCTCAAATCTCCTTTGCTCCTCAAATCTTCTTTTGCTCCTTGAATCTCCTTTGCTCCTCAAATCCCCTTTGCTCCTCATATCTCCTTTGCTCCTTGAATCTGCTTTGCTCCTTGAATCTCCTTTGCTCCTCAAATCTCCTTTGCTCCTCAAATCTCCTTTGCTCCTTGAATCTCCTTTGCTCCTCATATCCCCTTTGCTCCTCATATCTCCTTTGCTCCTTGAATCTCCTTTGCTCCTCAAATCTCATTTGCTCCTTGAATCTCCTTTCCTCCTCAAATCTCATTTGCTCCTCAAATCTCCTCTGCTCCTCAAATCTCGTTTGCTCCTCAAATCTCATTTGCTCCTCAAATCTCATTTCCTCCTCAAATCTCCTTTGCTCCTCAAATCTCCTTTGCTCCTTCAATCTTCTTTCCTTTGAATCTCCTTTTCCTCAAATCTCCTTTGCTCCTTGAATCTCCTTTGCTCCTCAAATCTCCTTTGCTCCTTGAATCTCTTTGGCTTGCTCCAAAAATAAAAATGTTTGCTCCTTTGCTCCTCAAATCTCTTTTCCTCCTAAAATCTCCTTTGCTCCTCAAATCTCCTTTGCTCGTCAAATCTCCTTTGCTCCTTGAATCCCTTTGCTCCTTTCCTCCTTTGCCTCAAATCTCCTTTGCTCCTCAAATCTCCTTTGCTCCTCAAATCTTCTTTTGCTCCTTGAATCCCCTTTGCTCCTTGAATCTCCTTTGCTCCTTGAATCTCCTTTGCTCCCTCAAATCTCCTTTGCTCCTCAAATCTCCTTTTGCTCCTCAAATCTCCTTTGCTCCTCAATCTCCCTCCTTCTCCTTTTGCTCCCTTGAATCTCCTTTTCCTCAAATCTCCTTTGTCCTCTCCTTGAATCTCCTTTGCTCCTCAAATCTCCTTTGCTCCTCAAATCTCCTTTTTTGAATCTTCCTCCTTGAATCTCCCTTGAATCTGCTTTGCTCCTCAAATCTACTTTGCTCCTTGAATCTCCTTTTGTTCCTCAAATCTCCCTTTGCTCCTCAAATCTCCTCTGAATCTCCTTTTTTGAATCTTTGCTCCCTGAAATTTCCTTTGCTCCTTGAATCTCCTTTGCTCCTCAAATCTCCTTTCATTCCAAATCTCCTTTGCTCCTAAAATATCTTTTGCTCCTCAAATCTGATTTGCTCCTCAAATTTGCTCTCCTCAAATCTCCTTTTTGCTTTCAAATCTCATTTCCTCCTCAAATCTCCTTTGCTCCTCCATCTCCTTTGCTACTCAAATCAAATCTCCTTGAATCTCCTTTGTTCCTCAAATATCCTTTGCTCCTCAAATCTCCTTTGCTCCCAAATCTCCTTTGCTCCTCAAATATTCTTTTGCTCCTTGAATCTCCTTTGCTCCTTGAATCCTCTTTGCTCCTCCTTATCTCCTTTGCTCCTCAAATCTCCTTTGCTCCTTGAATCTCCTTTGCTCCTCAAATCTTCTTTTTCCTCCTTAATCTCCTCCTGAAATTTCCTTTGCTCCTTGAATCTCCTTTTGTCTCCTAAAATCCTCTTTCTCCTTCGTCAAATCTCATTTGCTCCTCAAATCTCCTTTGCTCCTCAAATCTCCTCTGCTCCTTCTCCTCCTCAAATCTCATTTCCTCCTCAAATCTCCTTTGCTCCTCACATCTCCTTTGCTCGTCAAATCTCCTTTGCTCCTTGAATCCCCTTTGCTCCTTGAATATCCTTTGCTCCTCAAATCTCCTTTGCTCCTCAAATCTCCTTTGCTCCTCAAATCTTCTTTGCTCCTTGAATCTCCTTTGCTCCCCTCTCCATTTTTGCTCCTTATCTCCTTTGCTCCTTGAATCTCCTTTGCTCCCTCCCTTTTGTCCTTTGCTCTCCTTTGCTCCTCAAATCTCCTTTGCTCCTCAAATCTCATTTCCTCCCTCAAATCTCCTTTTGCTCGTCAAATTTCCTTTTCCTCCTTGAATCTCCTTTGCTCCTCAAATATCCTTTGCTCCTCAAATCTCATTTGCTCCTCAAATCTCATTTCCTCCTCAAATCTCTTTTGCTCCTAAAATCTCCTTTGTCCTTGAATCTTCTTTTGCTCCTTGAATCTCCTTTTGCTCCTCAAAAATCCTTTCCTCCTTGAGCTCCTCAAATCTCCTTTGCTCCTCAAATCTCATTTGCTCAAATCTCCCTCTGCTCAAATCTCCTTTGCTCCTCAAATCTCATTTCCTCCTCAAATCTCCTTTGCTCGTCAAATCTCCTTTGCTCTTTGAATCTTCTTTGCTCCTTGATCTCCTTTGCTCCTCAAATCTCCTTTGCTCCTCAAATCTCCTTTGCTCCTCAAATCTCATTTTTCCTCCTCAAATCTCCTTTGCTCCTCAAATCTCCTTTGCTCCTTTCTTCTTTGCTCCTTGAATCTCCTTTGCTACTCCGTCTCCTTTGCTCCTCAAATCTCCTTTGCTCCTCTCCTTTATCTCATCTCCTTTTTTTTGCTCCTCAATCTCCTTTGCTCTCCTCTCGCCTTTGCTCCTCAAATCTTCTTTTGCTCCTTGAATGTCCTTTGCTCCTCAAATCCCCCTTTGCTCCTCAAATCTCCTTTTGCTCTGAATCTGCTTTGCTCCCTCCTTGAATCTCCTTTTGCTTCTCCTTCCTTTGCTCCTCAAATCTCCTTTGCTCCTTGAATCTCCTTTGCTCCTATCCCCTTTGCTCCTCCAAATCTCCTTTGCTCCTTGAATCTCATTTCCTCCTCAAATCTTCTTTGCTCCTCAAATCTCCTTTGCTCCTGAAATTCTTTTGCTCCTTGAATCTCCTTTGCTCCTCAAATCTCCTTTGCTCTCAAATCTCCTTTTTCTCCTCAAATCTCCTTTGCTCCTCAAATCTCATTTGCTCCTCAAATCTCCTTTCTCCCTCTGCTCCTCAAATCTCCTTTGCTCCTCAAATCTCATTTCCTCCTCAAATCTCCTTTCCCTTTCCTCAAATCTCCTTTTCGTCAAATCTCCTTGAATCAAATTCCTTTGCTCCTTGAATCTCCTTTGCTCCTCAAATCTCCTTTGCTCCTCAAATCTCATTTTGCTCCTCAAATCTTCATCATATCTCCTCCTCAAATCTCCTTTGCTCCTCCGTCTCCTTTGCTCCTTGAATCTTCCTTTGCTCCTTCAAATCTCCTTTTGCTCCTGAATCTCCTTTGCTCCTTGAATCTCCTTTGCTCCTCAAATCTCCTTTGCTCCTTGAATCTCCTTTTGCTCCTCAAATCTCCTTTGCTTCTCAAATCTCATTTGCTCCTCAAATCTTCTTTTGCTCCTTGAATCTTCTTTGCTCCTCAAATCTCCCTTTGCTCCTCAAATCACCTTTGCTCCTTGAATCTGCTTTGCTCCTTGAATCTCCTTTGCTCGTGAAATCTCCTTTGCTCCTCAAATCTCCTTTGCTCCTTGAATCTCCTTTGCTCCTCAAATCCCCTTGCTCTCCTCAAATCTCCTTTCCTCCTTGAATCTCCTTTCCTCTTCCTTGAATCTTCTTTGCTCCTTGAATCTCCTTTGCTCCTGAAATTTCCTTTGCTCCTTGAATCTCCTTTGCTCCTCAAATCTCCTTTGCTCGTCAAATCTCCTTTGCTCGTCAAATCTCCTTTGCTCCTCAAATCTCCTTTGCTCCTAAAATCTCATTTGCTCCTCAAATCTCCTCTGCTCCTCAAATCTCCTTTGCTCCTCAAATCTCATTTCCTCCTCAAATCTCCTTTGCTCCTCAAATCTCCTTTGCTCGTCAAATCTCCTTTGCTCCTTGAATCCCCTTTGCTCCTTGAATATCCTTTGCTCCTCTAATCTCCTTTGCTCCTCAAATCTCCTTTGCTCCTCAAATCTTCTTTTGCTCCTTGAATCTCCTTTTGCTCCTCAAATTTCCTTTGCTCCTTGAATCTCCTTTGCTCCTCAAATCTCCTTTGCTCCTCAAATCTCTTTTTTGCTCCTCAAATCTCCTTTGCTCCTAAAATCTCCTTTGCTCCTCAAATCTCCTTTCCTCCTCAAATCTCCTTTGCTCCTCAAATCTCCTTTGCTCGTCAAATCTCCTTTAATCCTTGAATCCCTTTGCTCCTTGAATCTCCTTTGCTCCTCAAATCTCAAATTTGCTCGTCAAATCTCCTTTGCTCCTTGAATCTTCTTTGCTCCTCCAATCTCCTTTGCTCCTCAAATCTCCTTTCTTTTGCTTTGCTCCTTGAATCTCCTTTGCTCCTCAAATCTCATTTGCTCGTAAAATCTTTTTGCTCCTTAAATCTTCTTTGCTCCTTCAAATCTCCTTTCTCCTCAAATCTCCTTTGCTCCTCAAATCTCCTTTGCTCCTCAAATCTCATTTCCTCCTCAAATCTCCTCTGCTCCTCAAGTCTCCTTTGCTCCTTGAATCTTCTTTGCTCCTTGAATCTTTTGCTCCTCAAATCTCCTTTGCTCCTCAAATCTCCTTTGCTCCTCAAATCCTCCTCAAATCTCATTTCCTCCTCAAATCTCCTTTGCTCCTCAAATCTCCTTTGCTCGTCAAATCTCCTTTTCTCCTTGAATCTCCTTTGCTCCTCAAATCCTTTTGCTCCTCAATCTCATTTGCTCCTTCCCATTTTTCCTCCTCAAATCCTTTCCTTTGTCTCTTTAAATCTCCTTTGCTCCTTGAATCTCCTCTTCTCCTCCTTCAAATCTCATTTGCTCCTCAAATCTCCTTTGCTCCTTGAATCTCCTTTGCTCCTTGAATCTCTTTGCTCATCAAATCTCCTTTTGCTCCTTGAATCTTCTTTGCTCAAATCATCTCCTTTTGCTCCTCAAATCTTTTTTGCTCCTAAAATCTCCTTTGCTCCTAAAATCTCCTTTGCTCCTCAAATATCCTTTTGCTCCTAAAATCTCCTTTTGCTCCTAAAATCTCCTTTGCTCCTCAAATCTCTTTTCCTCCTTGAATCTCCTTTGCTCCTCAAATCTCCTTTGCTCCTCAAATCTCCTTTAATCCTTCAAATCTCCTTTGCTCCTCAAATCTCCTTTGCTCCTCAAATCTCCTTTGCTCCTCAAATCTCCTTTGCTCCTCAAATCTCCTTTGCTCCTTGAATCTCTTTGCTCCTCAAATCTCATTTGCTCCTCAAATCTCCTTTGCTCCTTGAATCTTCTTTGCTCCTTGAATCTCCCTTTGCTCCTCAAATCCTTTTGCTCCTCAAATCTTTTTGCTCCTCAAGTCTCATTTTTTCCTCAAATCTCCCCTCTGCTCAAAAGTCTCCTTTGCTCCTCAAATCTTCTTTGCTCCTTCAAATCTCCTTTTGCTCCCCCTCCTCATTTTCTCCTCAAGTCTCCTTTGTCTCCTCAAATCTCCTTTCCTCCTCAAATCTCTCCTTTGCTCCTCAAATCTCATTTGCTCCTCAAATCTCCTTTGCTCCTCAAATCTCCTCAAATCTCCTCTTTGAATCTCCTTGAATCTCTTTCTGCTTCCCTCCTCAAATCTCCTTTGCTCCTCAAATCTCCTTTGCTCCTCAATCTCATTTTGCTCCTCAAATCTCCTTTGCTCCTCAAATCCTCCTTTGCTCCTCAAATCTTCTTTCCTCCTTGAATCTCCTTTGCTCCTCAAATCTCCTTTGCTCCTCAAAATCTCCTTTGCTCCTTGAATCTCCTTTGCTCCTGAAATCTCCTTTGCTCCTCAAATCTCATTTGCTCCTCAAATCTTCTTTGCTCTCCTTTGCTCCTCAAATCCCCTTTGCTCTTGAATCTCCTTTGCTCCTTCAAATCTTCTTTGCTCCTTGAATCTCCTTTGCTCCTCAAATCTCTTTGCTCCTCAAATCTCCTTTGCTCCTTGAAATCTCCTTTGCTCCTTGAATCTCCTTTGCTCCTCAAATCTCCTTTGCTCCTCAAATCTCCTTTGCTCCTTAAATCTCCTTTGCTCCTCCTTATCTCCTTTGCTCCTCATATCTCCTTTGCTCCTTGAATCTCCTTTGCTCCTCAAATCTCCTTTGCTCCCTCAAATCTCCTTTGCTCCTTCAAATCTCCTTTGCTCCTTGAATCTCCTTTGCTCCTTGAATCTTCTTTGCTCCTCAAATCTCCTTTGCTCCTCAAATCTCCTTTGCTCTTAAAATCTCCTTTGCTCCTCAAATCTCATTTGCTCCTCAAATCTCCTCTGCTCCTCAAAATCTCCTTTTGCTCCTCAAATCTCCTTTCCTCCTCCGTCTCCTTTGCTCCTCAAATCTCCTTTCCTCCTCAAATCTTCCTTTGCTCCTTGAATCTCCTTTGCTCCTCAAATCTCCTTTGCTCCTCAAATCTCCTTTGCTCCTCAAATCTCATTTCTCCTCAAATCTCCCAAATCTCCTTTGCTCCTCAAATCTCCTTTGCTCCTTGAATCTTCTTTTGCTCCTTGAATCTCCTTTGCTCCTCAAATCTCTTTGCTCCTCAAATCTCCTTTGCTCCTCAAATCTCCTTTGCTCCTTGAATCTCATTTTGCTCCTCAAATCTCCTTTGCTCCTCAAATCTCCTTTTGCTCCTCAAATCTCCTTTTCCTCATATCTCCTCAAATCTCCTTTGCTCCCTCTTCTTTTCTCCTTTGCTCCTTTGCTCCTCAAATCTCCTTTGCTCCTTGAATCTCCTTTGCTCCTTGAATCTTCTTTTGCTCCTTGAATATCCTTTGCTCCTCAAATCTCCTTTGCTCCTCAAATCTCCTTTGCTCCTCAAATCTTCTTTGCTCCTTGAATCTCCTTTGCTCCCCAAATCCCCTTTGCTCCTCATATCTCCTTTGCTCCTTGAATCTCCTTTGCTCCTTGAATCTCCTTTGCTCCTCAAATCTCCTTTGCGCCTTGAATCTCCTTTGCTCCTTGAATCTCCTTTGCTTTTCAAATCTCCTTTGCTCCTCAAATCTCCTTTGCTCCTTGAATCTCCTTTGCTCCTCATATCCCATTTGCTCCTCATATCACCTTTGCTCCTCAAATCTTCTTTTGCTCCTTGAATCTCCTTTGCTCCTCAAATCCCCTTTGCTCCTCATATCTCCTTTTCTCCTTGAATCTGCTTTGCTCCTTGAATCTCCTTTGCTCCTCAAATCTTTTTTGCTCCTCAAATCTCCTTTGCTCCTTGAATCTCCTTTGCTCCTCAAATCTCCTTTGCTCCTCATATCTCCTTGCTCCTCAAATCTCCTTTGCTCCTCAAATCTCCTTTCTCCTCAAATCTCATTTTGCTCCTCAAATCTCCTTTGCTCCTCAATCTTCTTTTGTTCTCCTTGAATCTCCTTTGCTCTGAAATCTCCTTTGCTCCTCAAATCTCCTTTTGCTCCCTCAAATCTCCTTTGCTCCTCAAATCTCCTTTGCTCGTCTTGTCTCCTTTGCTCCTCAAATCTCCTTTGCTCCTCAAATCTCCTTTGCTCCTTGAATCTCCTTTGCTCCTCAAATCTCCTTTTGCTCCTCAAATCTTCTTTTCCTCCTCAAATCTCCTTTGCTCCTCAAATCTCCTTTGCTCCTCAAATCTCCTTTGTCCTTGAATCTCCTTTGCTCCCCAAATCCCTTTGCTCCTCAAATCTCCTTTTGCTCCCTTGAATCTCCTTTGCTCCTTGAATCTCCTTTGCTCCTCAAATCTCCTTTGCTCCTTGAATCTCCTTTGCTCCTTTGAATCTCCCTTTGAATCTCCTTTTCCTCAAATCTCCTTTGCTCCTCAAATCTCCTTTGCTCCTTGAATCTTCCTTGAATCTCCTTTGCTCCTATCCCATTTGCTCCTTGAATCTCCTTTGCTCCTTGAATCTCCTTTGCTCCTCAAATCTCTTTTGCTCCTCAAATCTCCTTTGCTCTCCTCAAATCCCCTTTGCTCCTCAAATCTCCTTTTCTCTTGAATCTCCTTTGCTCCTCAAATCTCCTTTGCTCCTCAAATCTCCTTTGCTCCTGAAATCTCCTTTGCTCCTCAAATATCCTTTGCTCTTGAATCTCCTTTGCTCCTCAAATCTTTTTTTGCTCAATCATATCTCTTTGCTCCTTGAATCTCCTTTGCTCCTTGAATCTCCTTTGCTCCTCAAATCTCATTTGCTCCTCAAATCTCCTTTGCTCCTTGAATCTCCTTTGCTCCTCAAATCTTCTTTTGCTCCTTGAATCTCCTTTGCTCCTCAAATCTCCTTTGCTCCTGAATCTCCTTTGCTCCTCAAATCTCCTTTGCTCCTCAAATCTCCTTTGCTCCTCAAATCTCCTTTCCTCCTCAAATCTCCTTTGCTCCTTGAATCTCCTTTGCTCCTCAAATCTCCTTTGCTCCTCAAATCTCCTTTGCTCCTCAAATCTCCTTTCCTCCTCAAATCTCCTTTGTCTTTGAATCTCCTTTGAATCTCCTTTGCTCAAATCTCCTTTGCTCCTTGAATCTCCTTTGCTCCTCAAATCTCCTTTTCCTCAAATCTCCTTTGCTCCTCAAATCTCCTTTGCTCCTGTCTCTTTTGCTCCTCAAATCTCCTTTGCTCCTCAAATCTCCTTTGCTCCTCAAATCTCCTTTGCTCCTCAAATCTCCTTTGCTCCTTGAATCTCCTTTGCTCCTCAAATCTCCTTTGCTCCTCAAATCTCCTTTGCTCCTCAAATCTCCTTTTGCTCCTCAAATCTCCCTTTTCCTCAAATCCCTCAAATCCTCCTTTCCTCCTTGAATCTCTGCTCCTTTGCTCCTCAAATCTCCTTTGCTCCTCAAATCTCCTTTTCTCCTCAAATCTCCTTTGCTCCTTGAATCTCCTTTGCTCCTCCATATCTCAAATCTCCTTTGCTCCTCAAATCTCCTTTGCTCCTTGAATCTCCTTTGATCCTTCCTGAATCTCCTTTGCTCCTCAAATCTCATTTGCTCGTCAAATCTCCTTTGCTTCTCAAATCTTCTTTGCTCCTTGAATCTCCTTTTGCTCCTTGAATCTCCTTTGCTCCTCAAATCCCCTTTGCTCCTTGAATCTTTTTGCTCCTTGAATCTCCTTTGCTCGTCAAATTTCATTTGCTCCTCAAATCTCCTTTGCTCCTCAATCTCTCTTTGCTCCTCAAATCTCCTTTGCTCCTCAAATCTCCTTTTGCTCTTGAATCTCCTTTGCTCCTCAAATCTCCTTTGCTCCTCAAATCTCCTTTTGCTCCTCAAATCTCCTTTTGCTCCTCAAATCTCTTTGCTCCTCAAATCTCCTTTGCTCCTCAAATCTCCTTTGCTCCTCAAATCTCCTTTGCTCCTCGAATCTCCTTTGCTCCTCAAATCTCCTTTGCTTTTTGAATCTCCTTTGCTCCTCAAATATCCTTTGCTCCTCAAATCTCATTTGCTCCTCAAATCTTCTTTTTCCTCCTCAAATCTCCTTTGCTCCTCAAATCTCCTTTGCTCCTTAAATCTCCTTTTTATGGTCTCCTTTGCTCCTAGATCTCCTTTGCTCCTCAAATCTCCTTTGCTCCTCAAATCTCCTTTGCTCCTCAAATCTTCCTTTGCTCCTTGAATCTCCTTTGCTCCTCAAATCCCTTTGCTCCTTATCTCCTTTGCTCCTTGAATCTCCTTTTGCTCCTTGAATCTCTTCCTTTTGAATCTCCTTCTCCCGTCCTTTCTTTTGCTCTCTTGAATCTCCTTTGCTCCTCAAATCTCCCTCCTCAAATCTCCTTTGCTCCTCATATCTCCTTTGCTCCTTGAATCTCCTTTGCTCCTCAAATCTCCTTTGCTCCTCAAATCTCCTTTGCTCCTCAAATCTCCTTTGCTTTGAATCTCCTTTGCTCCTGAAATCTCCTTTGCTCCTTAAATCTCCTTTGCTCGTCAAATCACCTTTGCTCCTCAAATCTCCTTTGCTCGTCAAATCTCCTTTGCTCCTCAAATCTCCTTTGCTCCTCAAATCTCATTTGCTCCTCAAATCTCCTCTGCTCCTCAAATCCTTTGCTCCTCAAATCTTCTTTGCTCCTTGAATCTCCTTTGCTCCTCAAATCCCCTTTGCTCTCCTTTCCTTTCTTCAAATCTCCTTTGCTCCTCAAATCTCATTTGCTCCCCCAAATCTTCTCCTTGAATCTCCTTTGCTCCTCAAATCTCCTTTGCTCAAATCTCCTTTGCTCCTCAATCTCCTTTGCTCCTCAAATCTCCTTTGCTCCTTCAAATCTCCTTTTGCTCCGTCAAATCTCCTTTGCTCCTTGAATCTCCTTTGCTCCTTGAATCTCCTTTGCTCCCTCAAATCCAAATCCTTTGCTCCTTGAATCCTTTCCTCCTCAAATCTCCTTTGCTCCTCAAATCTCATTTGCTCGTCAAATCTCCTTTGCTCCTTGAATCTCCTTTGCTCCTCAAATCTCCTTTGCTCCTCAAATCTCCTTTGCTCCTTGAATCTCCTTTGCTCCTCAAATCCTTTGCTCCTCAAATCTCCTTTGCTCCCTCAAATCTCCTCTGCTCCTCAAATCTCCTTTGCTCCTCAAATCTCATTTCCTCCTCAAATCTCCTTTGCTCCTCAAATCTCCTTTGCTCGTCAAATCTCCTTTGCTCCTTGAATCTCCTTTGCTCCACAAATATCCTTTGCTCCTCAAATCTCATTTGCTCCTCAAATCTCATTTCCTCCTCAAATCTCCTTTGCTCCTCAAATCTCCTTTGCTCCTCAAATCTTCTTTGCTCCTTGAATCTTTTGCT